TGGCGACTGACGTACAGTCATCGCCGACACACCTGTCCCTGCTGTCCTCCGGTATTCCGTCGAACACACGAGTCCCTTCTTCGTGATCGCATTAGCACGTGGGAAGTTCAGTCGCCGATCACGAAACCTTCACGCTTCTCGTTTCTCTCTCTTTCGTGCCCCCAGGCAGTGCCCGCTCGTCCTTCTGATAAGGATAAAATGAGCGTGAAGACGTTTCGGTCGCTAGTAGTAAAAGACGTAGTGCGGGTGGTATTTCTTCATATTTAGGCGTATGTCTCTTGAGATGTAAACGGAATGAGAAGGAAACACGAGAGAAAAGATGTGAGTGGTTAAAAGTACAAAAGGGATAAAGGAAAGGAGAAAGTTGATGAGGAAATAACTCGGCCCCCGCTGAATTTCAAACGGGCTTTTCAAACTAGTTATTGATGACGTGAAGTCCTCACTGGTTCAAGGACTGAAGCAGGTCTATACAGAATGAATGTGACTGTACCCTTCTGCACGCTCTATTATTTGCTCTGAAAGTAATCAGTAATCACTGCCTGCAGCAGGGAAGTAGAAAACCAGGCGCTACTACTGCGGAGTAAAAATAGAAAATTAAACAAACTGACCGCGTACAGAAAAAAAAAGAAAGCACGAGGACGACTGGTGTTTGATCACTGACTCCCCAATCTGCGGGCCTCGTGCCCTGGGCGGCACGTAACAGAATGCACGAAGTAAAATTCTGTTTGGAAAGAAAGTCTCAGCTTAATTGGGCCTGAGTGGGGGTAGCGAGATCTCGCGTACGAGAAGCGGCTTCAGTGCAGCGAGAGCTGTTATAACAACTTTTGGCTAAGTGTGACAGGAGGCTGTAAGTGTCAAACGCGCAGGTAGCTAACGGGCGTGCAAAAAGATTAGTTTCATCAGCCGTGACCAGCCAACTGGTTGACTCCGGACTTGGGGACGTGTGGCAGATAATTCAGTCAATGACTCCTCCGAGTACACAGGGGATGGCAGTTTCAGAGAAATACACGAGTCAAACCCACCGGCTTTATGGATGAGGATGAGAGAATGTCTGGACGTAGACGGTGAAGACGATGAACCAACTATCAAGACCTGTCACCGGAAAACTTTCACCTCAACACTGTTGTAACCAGATAAAACAAATACTTGCAACGAAGACCTTCTGGCAATGAGAATTCAGTTACCATCCAATTCCGATATTTTGTGCAGCAGTTACTAAAATCTGCAACTATTAGTACCTAAGGCCAGGTTGAAGGAAAGAGAGGACTAGGAAGAAGATTGATACAGCTAACCGACGACCTTAAACAAGGAAAGAAGATGACGTTCCAGGAATTAAAGCGAGAAGCCGAGAATAGGGATAACTGGAGAGCTCTTTTTGGGCAGAGCAATGGACCTGTCATAAGACAGAACACTTAATAATAATAAGTACTGAATGTTCAGAATTTTGTTACTTCCACCTTCCAATTCATTATAGCTCACAATCATGATATAAAACATGTTTGATTTTGTCAACTGAAAAATAAATATAATGAGAATAATTCGTGTGCATTTAATGTGAACTAAATAAAGTAAATTTTTATAATTTTCTTTTGAATTTCAGTCTTATAGTATATTAATCACTGCATCACTTACTATTAAAAATGATGATTCATTTCAACTGAAGTCTGCCAAAAAACCAACTTCCAATGGACTATAATCATGAACAATTTAATGATATAACAATAACTTTAAACTAAATGTTTGATAAAGCCAGGAATTGTTTACGTTTCCCAGACCTGGGGTCACATTCACCCGAATTTATCAACATGGATACAAATGAGGACAACTTATTGAAACATTATTACAGTTTATTAAAATTGTTATTAAATTATGCCTACTACTGCAAACAGGTTCACATATGACTTAATAATTTTCCTTTATAAAACTGGTAATTAGTGGGAAACATGAAACTGCTTTTTCTTCAGTAATCTTTCAATATCAGGTTCAATTTATCTTCTTGTGATTCCATATCCCTCCAAGTGTTCATCAGCATGAAGTATCTTATTTCTTCAATTAACATTCTTCATTTAACTGAACAGTTGCTCACAGAGACAAGTATTGCCAGATACTGACATTAATAAAACCTATTTTCTAATATCAGGTAACTATTTTCAGGATGACAATATTATAAAAATGTAAGTATGTCTCACAAAACAAATAGGCAGACTGCATGTGGCCCACCCATTGAGAACACCTGCTCTAAGTGCTTGTTTGGAAAATTACATTCATGTTTGACAGTAACCATAGCAGAAAGTGTATACTGGAAACTTCTCACCACAGTATGTATAATGTAAAATGGTCCTCACTACCCCCATCATTAAGGTGATGATGGAGGCAAGGATCTCTGAAACATTAGTAAGCTTCTACCAGACTACAAAGAGCTACAACCCAGAAGACAGCCACATCGATACACATCGTTTGTTACTGCAGTAACATTTTCTTACTTTCTTTCTAAACTTCCATGACACCATAATAGTATAGAAAATGCTGTAACATAAACAAAAAGACCACTCATAATGTAAAACAGTATTGTCATGGGTCAATCAAAACATTCACCCACGCCCTCGTCCAACTAGGGTCAGCTGCTACTCTTGGAAATGTCAGCATACTTTGTCCTTTCATTGTTTTGCTACTCCACTTTCTTGTGGTCAGTCAGACTGATTCCTATTCAGTAAGTATGGGCCACAGTTGTATGACCTTAAAAACAGGAAACAGGTAGAAAAGGGAAAGCTGTCATGAAAATAATCTTTCACTATCAGTGGGAGTCATCTGTTGCAAGCCTTGGTTTCATTATTCTGCCTACCATGTTATGTCTTACGTTAAATCAGCAATAACAAGTAATGATCTGGAAGTGTGTCAAATATGGGACAACAGTTGGGTTCATATACATATTTATATATTATAAGAAAAAATGGAAATCATGCACTGACCTTCTTTGATGCTACCGAGACAGGTGTAGAAGGAATTGACTCCTCATGAGAACCGTGTGATTTCAAGATTGATTTCTGAGGTGGCAAGATTAGCTGTTGTATTGGCTGGGATGGTGTTACTGGAGATACATGTGGAGATGCTGGTGTTGATGTTGAGTGTGGTTGTGGTTGTGACAGTGTCTGTTCTTGTTGTAAGGTGGTTTGTTGTTCAGATATTCCTTCAAATGATAGTGCACCATCATCATCCTCCATGTCATCATCATCATCAAGGTCAGCTACTGCCAGGTCATCATCAACCTCTTCACTATTTTCATCTGATGTATCCAACAAGTCCTTCCGCAGCCTGTGCTCTTCAACATACTCTTTCACTGCCTACAAACACAATATGAACACGAATAAGACAGAAAGAAATCAAATGACCTGAATACAAATACTGCTGGTTTATTAAGAGCTAATAAATCACATGACATGTACAAAATCAACATGTGTAAATCTAAACAGAAATGTTCTGAATTTAGTCTTCAAAAATATTTAGCAAACACAATCGTTATAACTAAGAGGGATCATATCTCAATTTTGGAACACAGGCAAACACATTTCCTTTATCAGAATTATTCAGTTTACATACATAACAAACACAGCACATTCTTTCACTACCATAAGTAGCATAAATCCATTAATCTGTAAACTAGGAATTAGGATCTAAACAAGGATTATTTCTTCTAAAATCTTTACTGATGCTGTTTCAGAGAACATACATTTGCAGGATTTGACGGTGAGTCTGAAGATTGCTGTCTTTTGAGTTGTTGTGCCATGTAGTCTGGTTGATGTCTAACAACGTTTCAGAGGTCATGCTGCCTCAGTCATCAAGGCGATGAATGAGCCAATCGAGCGGAAAGGGCATCTACAAGACTACATGGCACAACAACCCAAAAGACAGCAATCAACAATACATTTAATAAGAAATTTCAGTATGTAACATCCAGTGCTTGTCAATTCTATACCTTCATGTATACTGCGTTACACTCAGCAGTGAAACTACAATGAATAATACCAGAGAAAGAGCCTCTCTGAACTTAGGTTTGTCCTGCTACTTGGTAATACTGGCAATATATGGCATTAAATACTTTGGCCTGAATGGCAATTAAAGATTAATTGTTAAATGTGAACTGTGTTAAATTAACTAACATTCATACAGAATTAGTGTGTCATTTTTTACTTTTCAATGAAAATCAGTAAAAACCTATTCATGAAAGAACCTCAAAACTTTCAAATTTTTCTAAGTCAGTGGTTCTCGAAGTTCTACTGCTCCTGTGGAACCCTTTTGTTATTAAATCATCTGTACATATGTGGGGATATCTATCAGACTATGAAGTATGGTAATCCTCAGAATATGGACATACACAAAATCCTGCCTCAAACTTTGCACAAATGAGCAGATCTAAGAAAGAAAAGTCTGAAATTTCAGATTTTTCTTCAACTGCATGGAACAGTGAGCTTTCATACAAAATGGTTTATATTTCATCAGTTACCTGGAGATCTAACATTTTGGCTTTTTTGACTGCTGCTTCATCATGAACTGTTGGACTACTCGGCATGCGCTTCATGTTGCTAGCTGTACGACACACTTCCTCAAAGGTGGCAATTCTGTGAGTAGTGTCAACTCGAGGAACAGGAGGCTTGTTGACAGTTTGTATGACAGATTTCACAAGTGGTTTAGTCTCATATGACAAATCGTCAAACGAGCTGCTATATGGTTGTGTGTCCATATTCTCTTCTGGCCAATCAAAGCGAGTTGGGCGTGGTGATTCATCTACTACTGTTGAAAACCTGCTGAAACTGTAGAAGAAACAATGGCACCATAATATGAAGTTTAAACCAGTCACTATTGACCTAGGAGCTGGGTAAAAATGGAGAGAAAAGGGGCTTGAGACTCTTTACAATAGTTAATTTTGTTTCTATCATTCTTCTTCTTCTTCTTACTAAAATTAAACATCAATGTTTACTTTATTGCAGACAGTGTTCAGTACCAGTTTCAACACCCAAGTTACATAAATGAATTTCATCCTGCATTCATATTATAAAAGCCATTTTTGTTATTAGAAAATCTTGTCTGAATCTTAACTAATTTTATTACCTTTACTGCAGGTGGCAAGTACTTCCACTGCACTACATACAAAACCTTAAAAGTGTTAAACTATGCTGAGAATTATTATGATAGAGTAATGCAATGAATGATGTCTCAGCACTTCTGTTAAAACATCGTATGAGCAGCAAATGAGTTAAAATCACATATCAAAATGAAGTTATGGAATACCTGTAAGTGTTTCTTCACACCACAGGATTTATGTAATGTTATTTTAACATGTTCCCAAAAGATGTCCTTTTAAATGCCAAATATACACTGTTGCCACAGGAGACTTGGTTAGAATCTTCCATATTTGAATCTGTTACTGTGACCAAAATACTGCACAATCCACAACATATTCCATCTCCTGAATTTTCTTCCACTTAAAATGATTATCACTTCAAACCAGAACTTACAGAATATTTATAGCAGAAGTATTTCAGGAAGACAGAAATGAACTATGAGAAACATTATTGTACACTGTACTATATTCACCAGAAGACAGCTCTAAAAAATGTGAGGTCAATATTCTTTATGCAGATTGTGTCTGTGGCAGCAAATTTGAACATATGAAGTATCATTTTAAACTTTAAAGACAAACAGGGGGTTTAAGTCTGTGTATTACAGGGCTGTTGGATAGACTTTAACTACTAGGTTAATGTTTTAGAAGTATGCCAGTACAATAGTCAGCTGGATCACATGCAAGCCACAATGCATATGCTATAAAGATACGAGTTTAAAGTACAAGAATGATTATAAAGTTACAATTCATAATTGCAACACTATGAGTACTGTAGTACTTATAACATACCCATCACAATCACTAATGGAAGAATCTTCAAAAAATGTTGAAGAATTTGATGGAACATTACGTCTCTTCCATATGGGTAACCTGCACAAAAGGAACAAGCTCTCCATTAGAAGTAATCAATATACAGAAACTTAAGTACTATAATCTTCATACTGTGATGTGTTGGGGTTGGCATTGTTGAACTGTTAATGACATTGTTGTATTCATGCATTGTTGTATTATTATTGACATTGTTGCGTTTAGCATTGTTGTGTCTACATTGTTGCATTTGTATAAAAGCCGATTGACAATCAATTTCATATCAGACAGAAATATCTTTGCAAAGTTCATATAAAGTTCTGTTCTTTGATATGCAGTGTCCTAAGGGTCAATATTGAGTATGTTCTTACAATATTAGTTACTCTGGGGTGTCTATAATAAAAAAAACTAAACAAATTAAACAAAATACCATATATAATGTCTATACCAAAAATGCATAAAATAGACTCTAATGAAAATTCAAGAAAAGTAGAGATGAAGTTAATCAACAGTACACATTATACAAAGGCTTGAATTATTTTTCCTTCTCTTTACCTTCCTTTTCCCTTTACTTGAAAAATATTTCACATAAAAGTTACACACTTAATGAAATCTAAATATATTCTGTATCATATGAATATTTTGTGCAATGAACTATTCTTTATAAATATCATAATGTCTGATTAAAGTTTTCTGTGAAAAACAAGTTATACTTATTAAAACATCTTCATGTCAAGTACCTGAATTATTATATCGCTTGGTTTATCTGACAGCTAGATAGCTATTAGTTTCTGAACAATGACTATTCCATGCAGTCTGGTTCATCTATGCAGGACTGGAGGGTCAAAGGTTTACACAGAAAAATATAAAATATCACAACTGCATAACCGTTAGAGTCAGCATAAATACAACATGGCCACCTTGTATGTCAGAGATCATTGGGATATATTCACCAAACAAAACATTTTGTGCTTTTTTACAGCAAAATATTTCTTTATACAACACAGGTAATAAAGTAAATGGTTAAAATTCAATTCACCCTTTGTCCAGTGAGGTGTAAGAAGTTTTCAACATACATGTTATCAATGGGAGGGTTTTAAATCACAGTACATACTTGCGACCAGGTAATGTTTCTGGAAGGTCTGGGTCAATCTGTTTTGGTGCAATCTTCTTTCCTTGCAAATTATAAGTGATGGGAACTTGAGATGGCCTCCTAACAACAGGCCTTGCTTGGGGAGATAATGCTGAATTCTGTGCATCCAAAAGTTTGGTCAACACAGTCATATTCATCTGCTGGGCTGTTGTGTACAGACGTCTGTGAAGTTCTGTGCGGAATTCCAATTTCCCAGTGTACATGAAACTGAAATGCAATCAACATAAGCCTTTCTTCCGGGAACAGGTATCATGACAGATCTTACCTCTTATAACAAATGGTGATATAAACATTTTACATACATTAATCTGAAAAAAGGAGCAATGAAACTTTACTACTCTACAAATCTCACTCAGTTCTCACTGTCAATTCATATCAGTACCTTTCCTTAATGCATTACAGACTCAATTACTGAGCTAAAAGTGGCACATTTATCTGCAACAAAAGTATGTCAGACTAATTTAAACACTATGAAATGTGCACAAAATTTCTTGCAGACATTAATGTTTACTTTGGCCAAAATTTTGTGGACTCTGGGTTTTAAATAATTTTAATATGAATGTGAATTCAAATCTCAAGACAAAATGCTACACACAGCAGAAGGTACATACTTGATAATTGGCAGTACCACATCTGCTTGCATATCATCTGGCATTTGCAAGCAGTCCCCAGTGGCACAGCCTTGTTTCTCCAACATCTGGAAATATTCTGTACATGCATTGAGGACAAGTCTGTGAACCTGCAAAATATCACAAAGAAATTATTAAAAACCAAACAGCCAGGTAGTTCAATCAGTATAGTACCTACAATTTAGTCACCCATCACCAGATGCTTAGAATTTGTTTAGTCCCATTGTTTTACTACAGAGTTTTAAGAAAACCAGCAACATCTTCATTGTTACTTCTTATGCACTGAAAATTCGTGTTTCATTAAACTTATTACATTTGTTCTGTTCACATTTTAATAATTAAATTTTAAAAATAAAGAGTATAATCACATGCAGGAGGAATCTACAAATAGAATGAAAAACTGGCAAAAATCAACAAATTAAAGCTCCAAAATTGTTACTTGTTGGACAATTAAAACTCATGGTTCATTAAACTGACCACAAACAGAAAAATATTATCACATTCACAAGGGATCTGCAGATAAGCACAAGGCATAAAAAATATTATGTGAATTTGAAATTTGCATGTGATCAATTCATTTTCATTATTTAATTCACAATTTACTGAATTATATTTGTATAAAAGCAATAAAACTTAAAAATAATACATTTCATGAAATGACTACTGTTTTACTATCACATAAACATAGTCCACACTCTTAAAAGTTAGTATCAAATCCACTTAAATTGTACAGTGAAGTACATCTGTAGGGCTTTAGTACAGTGTCATTGATCCCAGAAAACAAACCAATATCACATTCAAGAAAGCCTGCAAAACATCAAGCCTCCCACTATAGATGCTTATTAAATAAAGAGGGTACATCTGCAAACTAACCTTAATTCTTTCATTTGTACTGAAAAGCAAAATAAGATCACAGTGTTCACTCTTTGAAAACAGCTGCTGAAGTCTCTGGAGGAAGAATATTCCCCAGTTGTCAACTTTAACTTGCTTTATGGTCCCGTCGCTCATGATGATGATGGCATCCTACATCCAAAAAGTAACTCAGCTAGAATGGAGCTTCTGTGATCTATGAAACAAAAAGGAACAAGTCTCAACTTGCTTAATGACTACTGATCTTCCAATGGTACCACAGAGTAGTATTGATATTTTACCTCCATCCTCCAATCCCAACACTAAGCAAAGAAACTTTTATTGCATGGATTTTCCCAATTCTTCATTTGCTTGAAAATATTTTTGTTCTTGTACTCCTGTGTTTTCCACACTGTTTTTGTTCAGAAAGCCCTACTGCCTGAAACACATTATTGTGGAAACCCTGATTGAAACTGAAAGCTCTACATATTTGTTTGACCTTACGATGGTTTAGTGAAGAATCATAAGTAATGCCAATCAAACTCTAGTAACCTTGTTCTGCAATGCTAGTCAGTAAGACCAACAGTGATTCTTCTTAAGGAGGAAGATAAATAAAAAATATATAAAAACCAATATTCAAGTATTGAGATTATTAATTCTTCTTTGCAGTCTTCCTCCTATCACAAAATTAGGTCAATAAATGGGCTGTTTCGGCCTCAAGGTTTTATTTATCTAGTAGTAGTCCCTTTAATGATGTCCAGGTCTTCACCTTTAGAGGAATCTATTAAGAAGTTGTTCTGGGTGTCTATCTTTCATCCTTTAACATGATCTAATGCTATGCTAATTTACTTTTAACTGGGTTCATGTTCAATTCTAAAATATCTTAATTTTTGGTATGATGCATCCTACTGTGTTTTTCATGAATTACATCTCTTCTGTCTTTCATATTCACACACACACACACATATATATATATTTGTTTCATGTCCTGATGAAAGTGGTGGGATAGTTAAAATAGGCCTATTATATAATTCCAAACAAGACTGTCTTCAAACAAAATTTGGTTGCCTAATAATATTCACAATTGACAACATTTTAATAAATGTCTTTTTTAAATTAATGGTTTGTATAAAATGTTACATCCCAAATATGTGAATGTATTTACTTGCTCCAGCACTAAATTACTAACAACAAGCAGCAGAGCCCTTCTTAAGAAGTGGACAGTATAATCAACTAGTCAAGAAATTCCACACATTTTATCGAGTTTATTACCATGTTCAAAAGAGCCTACCACTAGTCCCAACCTCAGCCAGGTGACTTCAATCCACACCCTAATGCCCTATCTCCCATCTTAATACCACCCCCCCCATCTATACCAAGGTCTCCTGAACTGTACCCTCCCTCCTCATGCAACTACTTGTTCCAAGACAGTATTATCTATTATAATTATGCTTAAGATTTAACCTGTCCTTTAAATGTCATCACTTTATTTTTATTCCAGCCAATTTTGTAGTGTTGAGTAAATTACATAATGATCTCCATAAACAACCTTCTGAGTCTGATATAGGTATCATGTCATCTGCATACAAAAGTGTATTAATTGAGGAACAACTTCAGGTAATTCATGCAAAGCATTAGTCTGTTAAAAATGTTCTGTAGAATACTTCCATAGATGGATCAACAGATGATTGTGATATCTACTACCTGTAAAGAACATCACAGGCACACATAAATCAAAATAATCTGTAGGTAAGGATCTGAAATGGAAATGCAGCATTTATGAATGAGCATGATGATCTGAATATGATGCGTAAAATGTACGATATTCATAGAGGACCACTTATTATCATCACTGGAAAAAAATTCAGCTACCAAGTTCAGTGATATCTGATGTCACCTGCAAGACTGGAATGCCTCTCAAAGATATACAATAACGACTACACAAGTAAACATGGTTAAAATGAGACTATTAAATGTAATGCACCTTGACCTGCTAAATAATCATGAAGTGGCAAAAATCATCACATAGCCATCCAAAGCTTTTAGGAAGACACTTACTGCTAAACATACTGCAGAGATAGCAGCTATATATTTATTGTCTTCAGTTCTCACAACACATCCAGAATTACACATAACTGACAACCGGCCCTCTGTCCAACATAGATTTACCAACACCATAGACCAAGGTCCCCCTTAAGAAGCTAATATCAAAGTATGACATAATCAGAACTTCAGTGTCATAATATCATAATATATGTTCCAATTAATAAAATATAAATATTAATTAAAATGTTAAAACATACCATAAAACAGCACTTTAAGGGCTAACATAACAATTAGTATTTTTTACAAGTCATTAGTACACTTTGTGAAACAAAAACAATTATCAAGTGTATGTACCTGCAAATAAAATCATTTGTCTATAGTCAGATTTGAAGACAGAACCTGCATTAACGTCAGTTCCCTACCATTCCAACTGCTCTACAAGAACACACGGGCAGCCAACCAAAGTGCGACTTTCACCTCTGTTTTGCTTTCAGAAGACTCAATAAAGTCATTAACATTAATTCATGTTTTTCTTCAAATTAGGCAGACACATTGTTCAGGTAGCCTTTTTTTAACAGATGTCTGGCATAAATCAGATTAGTTAATGGAAGGTACAGAAAAATATAAGATCATATTTTCCAAGAATTACGATACCAGCTGCACGCTTACATCACTTCCGGTACTGGACTTTGAATATGTCAAGAGTTTGATTTTGTTGTACACGGTGTACATGCATGATGTTTTTCTATAATTATCCATTTATAATACAATTAGAGAAACGATCTACTATTCGCTATAAATCATATAAAATGTTCTTTCAAACGATATAAAAATATACCTCACAATTTATAAAGCGACAGAGCTGTAAGTGGTCACATGTTACGAACATTGGAAACTAACTGCAGAGAAAAGCAGTATCTGGTATTTTGAAAATTGTCACAAGTGTCACTCACCCTCTGTGCAAAAAGGAATTCTGGGACCACAAGAACTTTGAAAGCTGTAACGAATTTTGTAAGAAGCTGCACATTTTTTTAGATTTTTGAGCAGTGGTCACTTATATAAAAAATAATTTTGCATTAATTAAGGTTCAAATGAGAGAAAATGTATAAGTGCAAGTATAATAAAATGTACATTTAAGTGATTTGAAGCTCAAAGCATAATTGTGTTTAATAAATGTAAATGATTTTTTCAGTTGTCTGTTTGATTCCATGTCCCCCCAGGGGTAAACATCTTTTGTGAACCACATGACTAAAATGCAAGTTTAGCTGTCGGTTGTTTGAGTTAGGTTACATGTATTATGAAATTTATATATTTTGTTTACATGTCATGAAAATTGAAATCACTTTAGCAGCTGTGATGAACTACTGCTTTTTGCCAAGATTCTTACAGTTTCAGACATAGAAGAGAGAAAATGCAATCCATGGTTCACTGGAAGAGTTACTTCAGGTAGCTGAACATGGAACACACGTAAAAGATGCTTCTGGTCCATGTGGATTTTTCAAATTTATTAAAATGTTTCCATTACATATCCTAGCTACCAGTGATTGTCACAGAATGTAGTAACATAAGCACTAACCGTACAGAACAGAATGTTCTGGAACTATTTGAGTGTTGAAACATTCATGGTTTGTCCACTTAGAGTCTGATAGTGTATTTTCACCACCAAAGCAGTCTCAGCAATTGGAATAAATGCATGATAACTGTTGATGCCTAGTACAGGTTACACTACATCTAATCGAGACTGTAGATTGACTCTGGTATATTCTACTTCTCTGCACATGAATAAATATCTAAGGGTATCAGTATTTGATTACCCTGTGATTTTCATAAACTTGCATGTGGTACCAGGCATTTGATGTTACTGCCAACACCTTCACATGTGAGGTGGTAAAGAAACGCCATTCTGCTTCTATCCCAAAAACAGTTTCATGTGAACACAGATCTATGAAGTTTTTTCTGTTTGTGTAATGAGATGCTGCCATATAAGATTTTTTTTCACAGTTTATTTTGGACATGAACTTCAGCTCTCCAAAATGTATATATGACAGTCACCAAGATAAACCACTTCTCCAGTTGCAGTTAGATTTTTTAAATAGCACACAAATGGATGTACTGATGCATGCTGATTGTTCCAGTGGAACCCATAAGCTGCATCTTGTACAACAAATAATTGATTTTCAGCAACGTCACCTACAACTACTTCATCACCATTTAGACACCAATTTGTTTCTTAGCCACTGCTCAATTACATCTATGTACACTATACTGTAAAACATAAAAAAAGACAAAGTTCTTGTAGTTCATAGAATTATCTATTGCACACTTTGAGAGGGCCATGTGGCTGACACATATGACAAGTTCAAACAAATTCCAGATACTACTTTTCTCTGCAGTTAATTTCCAAACTTCATAACATAATCACTTACAACTCTGTCGCTTTACAAATTGTGAGGTATGGTTACTACTTCAGAGAAATAATAATAATAAAAAAACAAACAAAGCTCAATGGTAACAGGATAAATGAAAAATTTCATCATAGTCCTAGATGTCAAGGTTTAACAGATGTTAGTTTTTCATGTAATGACAAGAGCAACTGGAAATAAATTGTTAATACAGAACTCCACTAAAAATTCTACTATTAAGATTGTAAGAATGGAGAAACAGCTGCAGTACTTTTTGACACGGTGATGAAAAACAGATAGGTGGAGCATGAAAGCTCATAACTTCCAGCCATGGGACAAAGTGTTGCTGAAGGAACAATTTCCTCCCTTTTTCAAGTGAAGTCTTGTGTGCAACAAAAAACAGTGAGAATGCAATACCACAACAAGCAGAAATAATATTTTCAATGGCATTTTCGAGCTATTATTATGGTAAATTATCAAATATTTTCTATGTCTGACTTGAGAATTTTATTTGTACACAAACAAGTTTCTTTTTAATTGATGAACAGAAATATAAACAGGAAATTAAAAAGTTAATAAGCCAATTTATTGTACTTTCTGGACCACAAGACCATACTTATGAAACAAAGTGGCAGTGCAGAATGAGAAAACAGCATGCTCATAAATAATGGCTTTCTTCATTCTGCTGAGAGAGAACTAAAACACATTTCAGTTGCCATCTCCATGTTCTATATATACTGCACATGTCACATTAGGACCATAAACTATAACAAACTTATCATCAGTTATGTGTGATACTGAAACACATCCCATTGTTTTATCCTACTATCAGTAACTAATGTGGGTATGGTTACAAGTGTGCTCAACAACAGACAAAACAATTTATTTTTTAACCAGTATTACATGGCTCAAATGACCACAACACATTCTAACTCCAATCAGCAGGGAGAATTATGAGAAACATCACTTTACCTTTGACAAATCTGTAACTTTGTGTGTCTTACTGTACCGACAGACAAAGGGTTGTAGTACTTTTCAGCAAAAAAATCTCTCATGATGTAAAAAATATGAAAAATCATCCTCATATACAGTGAACAGATTTGGATGCAAATCTAGGGCACTTCAAAACAATTATTTCTTAGGTCAGTGACCAGTGATTTTAAATAGAGTAAACTATGAGCATAAGGGACTGAAAAAAAGACAATACTGAATCACATCACAACATTACAGAAAGCCTGTGCCAGAGCTCTCAGGCAGTTAGTCATCAGCTTCTCATCACAGAGGCCTGGGTTCATGTCCAGGAGAGTCCATGTAGGACCTCATAGATAAAGTGGCATTGGGACAGGTTTATCTCTGAGTTCTTTGGTTTTCCTGTCAATATAATGCCACTGTTTCTCCATATTCACATCATCTGGAAACTGGACAATGGGCAGCAGTTCCACAGAGATGGTCTTCCCCCTTTTGCAACAATATCAATAATAGTTCTGCAACATATCTACTGCATAAATTGCATATACCAAAATTCTAACTGAAGGTATAAAAATTCATGTTTGCACATTTGGTATTTGCATGTGTAATAAAAAGTCATAAAAGAGAAGGCTGTTAATATTTTGACTAAATCTTATCATTCAGCCTAATTTTCTGAAAACAAGAAAGAATGGTGGCATTATAAATACCTTAATTTAGTTGGTATGCTTTAATAACACACACGCACAAAACAAATGTAATCTTTAGTAATGTGGCAATTATTCACAAAATGGGCAATCTTAGTATCATTAATATATTACAAGAGTTATACAATGGAGAATGAAATGATGCTGACTTTCTATTTGTCATAACCCTCACCTACTTTGCTTGTGATATTTAAACTTCAAAACCCATTTTTATGGCAACTCAGAACAATACAGCAGTCTTCCATATCAGTAAAAATTGAATGAATATATACAGAAAACACACAAAAAATGTAATTTAATAGGATACTACAAGAACATAGAGATCATCATAAAACTTTGTGCATTTACCATTGACAAAAGGTTGTGTTCAGAATCCCACAGACTTGCCATATGTGCTTATCCAATGTGCAAAAGCATATAAACATTTATACACTTAACCTGTATCATGTCAAACAATGAATTTAAATAAAAGACAAACACTCACAGTCAGCATGTTATCAATTCTTGTCAAGCAGAACACTGACCACTCTCTGGTTTATGTACATTTTCTACAATACACAGTAATATAAATGATGGTTTCCTAATTGCTAAATGATTTTATAACCTCAGGAAAAGTACACACAACCATTTCACAAGTGGTGTGCCAGATGAAGGTTTGCATCCCCCCCCCCCTGGATCCACCATTATAAATCCACACAGATAGTTCTTGTAGCCGGATACTGAACATAATAATATATAACAAAATTATACGTCTCACAACATCATTCTATGTAACTACCCCAATTGACATAAATCAGGTGCATTATCCTGGCATGCAAGGTCACTCACAGCCCCTTCCGCGGTGTAGGAATGAAAGTCATCAGAAAGATTGTACGACTACTAATTGTTATTCCTCATGATAAAGAATTTATCTTACTTATACAAATGTCGCATTTGTGTAACGTAATTCAAATATACAGACCAAACTGAAAAAGCTTCAAATATCTGACCCAGCTCCATCTCTTAGCTCAACCTCGATTGCCAACAAGATATTGAACATCATAGTTCCGAAAGCTACGCATGGATAGCGGCACAATTGGTTCGCCCGCGAAAAAACGCATACATTCAAATTCAAAAGCTTTATTCCTTCTTTATGACATCAAACGTTTAATTCCGTTTAAATTCTTTCATACGAAAGAGAACTAATGTAAACGCTATTGTTAGAAACAAATTTCGGTTCAACAGTTTAATTACATTGATATTCTAAGTAAAATCACAGTAAAACATATTGAAGTATTTACTTTGTAAGCATCTTTGTAAAACTGATGCTACAACCAAAATTCCAACTGAAATTTAATTCTAAAATAGATCACCACACTGTGGCGCTGACTTTATCATAGCCGATTCAACTTTCATATTATAATTTCGTTAAATTGAAATGAACATGCACTCAGCACTATCACGGTTGGACATTTATGCCATGTATTTGTTCTAATCAGTTACCACAGATGAGAGTTCATGTACCGGGTGTACAATTTATAAGACTCGGGGCGTGCTTTGCATTGCGTGGTCGGCCGGCGCTCTGTTGGTGTGTGCTGGCGTTGTGCGCGTTCTTAAGTGGGTGACCGGCGAAGCAGTTTCAGTGCCACTAGTAACAGCGAACTACAAATATTTCTCGTCACTAATACATGTTATTACATTAATTGTTCTTACCTTAAATCACAAAAGATGTTCAAAGTGACTTCCTTGTGCTTGCAGCAAAGCTTCACATCTCGTTAACATGTTTCGAAATACTCGACGAAGCTTTTCTTGGGAAATTGCCGAAATGAACTGTCGAATATTTTCTTTAAGTGCTTCTGCAGTGTGCGGATTGTTTATATAAGCTTTGTTCTTCAGCATGCCCCCACAGGTAAAAATCGCACGGGTTCAAGTCTAGGGAACGCGGAGGCCACTGATCGATAACTTGTTCACCAAACACTTCTCTTAATGCTAACATCGACCAATCAGCTGTGTGAGCTGTAGCATTGTCTTGCATGAAGAAACCGTAAGTCTTTTCCTCATCGGTCATTTCTTGGAAAAAGGGTCTAAGTATTAAATTTACATAACGTTCAGAATTTATTGTTTCATTATAAAAGATTTTCCCTATTATTCACTTGGAGATAACTGCACACTCCAACCTTAATGTCATGAAGAACAATTAATGTAATAACATGTATTAGTGACGAGAAATATTCATAGCTCGCTGTTACTAGTGGCACTGAAACTGCTTCTCCGGTCACCCACCGGAAGAACGCGCACAACACCCGCCCACAACAACAGAGCACCGGCCGACCACGCAATGCAAGCACGATCGCAGCCTCATAAATTGTAGACCCGGTATAATGGAATCATGAAATCAAGTTGTTGTAGATAACCATAACCTTCCATCTAGTGGAGAAAAGAAAATACTATGTCATTGCAAATTGTAGTTCACAGATACATATTTTAGCAGTAATGAAATAGAACGCACATACCATGACAAAACACATACTGAAGTGACATAAAGCAAGATGGAATATATATATATATATATATATAACTAACTAACTAGATGGCTTACCGAACCCGAAGGTTCATCACCGAATTAACCAAAGCCCTCCACCGGACCCTGTCCTGGGCCAACAAAATCCAGTTTCCTTCAACTCCTATCGCCCATAGATCCCGCCTGAGATTATCCTCCCATCTACGTCAAGGTCTCCCCAGCGGTCTCTTCCCTGCAGGTTTCCCAACCAGTACCCGGTGCACACCTCTTGTCCCATCCATGCACGCTACATGTCCCGCCCATCTCACTCTTCTCGACTTAATCACCCTCACAATACTGGGGGAGCAGTACAGATTTTAAGCTAGTCATTGTGCAGTTTTCTCCACGCCCCACCGTCTTCCCTCTTAGGCCCAAATATCCTCCCCAACACCCGATTCTCAAACACCTGCAATCTGTGTTCCTCCCTCTGAGTGAGAGACCATGTTTCGCACCCATACAAAACAGCAGGCAAGATTATTGTTCTGTATACTGCTTTTGATTTTTTAGTGTCAGGTCGTTATCGATACATTTATTCACACTAAACAAAGAATCTTTTTTTTAAAAATTACCAAGGGACAAAAATATTACTAATTAACAAACAAAGTGTCAGAGACTAATTAGATTAGTGTTCTCAAAATGTGATGACAGGCGTTAAATAAGATATTAATGGACGTTATTTGATGTACTGATCCTCATCTGTAGATACAATATGCGAAAATAATAATAAAAACGGACCCAAAATATCGATGCGACCTACTAGATATTACTAAAATTTTCAACTAACATTAATTATGAGAAAGTAATTATCGAAAGTATAACAACATCGCTGAGGTTAGAAATTAATGTTTTTGCAGGCCGTATTTTGTACACTCCTGATAAACTGATTTGGTCATACACGGGACTTCAAATTGGGATTTTTAATACCTCTAAGAACCCCCGGTTAAATTTTTCGTTTCAAATGGGGAGATCATTTACAGAATTACAAATGTTCCGGGCTTATTAACAGTGTATGAACTCGCTGTAAAAATCAGTTCACAGAATTAATCCTGCTAGCTCGGTCACGTGATTGGTTACCTTGGTCGGCCAAAGTTTGAGCAGTTTCGTCGTTCTCGGCTGCTGACAATTTTGAGATTCCGGTTTCACGCGCAAGGCGACTCAGTGATTTCTGTGGTGTGCGTTGTAACCTTGGACCTGTTTCGTCTCGTTGTCCTTCGGTAAGCACGCGTCGCTTTTGGTAGATTTTTTGTCCAGAAATAAACCAGTAGATCGAAATTTATTACTAAATTTATGGATACCTGCTGTGCTTGGAACAGTTAACCCGGGAAATTTACGAACGAAATTTTTCACAATTCTTTTCTAGCGGTAGCACGTTTCACAAACTGTTCTTATAGGAAAAACCCCATTCGACGGTATATCAAACCATATTCACACACACAATAATAACCAGCGTTTAACAGATGAAATATTGTGTGAATTATTTTAGCGTCAATTCCTGATGATGCCTGGCGATGTGTCATGCCCGGAGCCGGGAAGTGACAACTGCGTTTAACTTTGTCAGTGGACGAACTGTATGACAATGAGTGGATTTATGGGAATAAGCGAGCGACGCCGTGAAAGAGAGGAAAGTTAGTGGCTGATTCGGTGATAACAAAGAATTCACTAGACACTGTACAAGAATAAGAAAGTAAAAGTGAGTAAACCTTCTGGTACATGTATATATATATATATATATATAATGATGTTAAACAAATATGTAGAACTCATATTGTTGTAAGAAGACACATGCCTAAGCTGTACTCATAATTTCAGACGCCGCGTAGCCGAAGGCCATATCCAAACTTATAGCGACTGGCCGATATCTGATTTTTGTGGTTATAAATAGTGAAAATTTTCAGTCATTGACAGCGGAAGCAGTATTATTCAAGAGTGACTGAATGTTGCAAATAACTTCAGCCTATTTTGACGATGATCAACTTTTGAGGAATAACCGCAATATACTACGTAATTACCTTGTTGCACAATACGTGTTATGCCTCATGTACATATCATGACTATTAAACCATTTTTTTGATGAAAGAATTATTCATCCACCATTGTCTGTGTCCTTGTCATTAGTATTGCAATAATATTTTCACGAGTCGGTGGAAAAGAACTCGCTTACTTTCTTAGTGGTATGACCTTTGAAACGTAATGCCTCCAGTGCTTCTAAGAATAACGCATGCCTCCAAAACGTCAATAACCACCTTCAGGAGTATATGCCGTTACAACCTAAAAGACCGCAAATCACATTCTTACCGCTAGAAAACCTACAATGATCATTCAGATATATGTGGTACTTTAAGGTCTCAGTAGCATGTATAATAATCGTTCTATTTACATGTCCATGATTCAGAGATGACAGCACATTATGTTGCATTCCATTGAGTTGCATATTTGTGTTTATTCAAGTCGCTACCAACGCTATCGTAAAAAGTGTTAATATCTGTGACAAGTGCTTTCAATGCCCGACTGTGGCGTAGCGTAGCGATTCTCCTAGCAATTAGATGTCGAAGGTAGACATATTGGTAGTTTAATTAATAAAATTATAAAAATGTATAGTTTATCTGGACACGTTTAATACTGTTCGAATTTACAAAACATTCATTCGTATAGTCCGAGATGGAAGAGGAAATAATTATGGTCCCAGAAGACGGTTTTAGTCCTACAGGTAAGATGTGGTAAATGTATCGTAGCGTAGCGTATTTCTGGATCGGTTTTTGGCTATCTGCCGCTGAGTCAGCATTTCGCTACATTTGTGGAGCGGTAACCCGTTTTATGTTGCGTTAAAATGATATTTTTTGAGGGAAATATAAATGACAATGACAGATACTACATTAAATACTAGTATTAAACAATTGTCCCATCGGATTGTGGAAAGGGCATCTTGACCGAAATTCTTTTGATCTAAATTCATAAAATAGTGGTGCAATATAATTATGTTTTCCTTCCCGGCAGAGAAGTTCGTATGGAGCAGACCAATGGTACTTACATTGATAGAAGAATATAAGAAAGTAGAACATGAATTCAAAGATTCCAATATTAAAAAGAAGCACATATGGCGCAAAATAGCTCAACAGCTTTCTCAGAGGGGCTACCCCAATGTGAGTGAAGATATGTGTGATAAAAAGTGGCGCAACTTGAAGAAGACGTTTAAAGAAATTTATGTTGGACAAAGAGGGTCACCTTTGAGAACCAGGTGGGGATTTTACAATGCAGTAGAAGAGATATTCAGTAAGGATCCAAATATAGTAAGTGCTGCATCAGTATCAGTTTCAACAAAACCTTTACTAACTACAAAAAAAATTCCATGTTCTGATGGGCAGGAAATGCAAGTTGAAGTAATGGAAGTTGTTGGGAATTTAGGTGAAGAGTATTTGGAAAATGGGGAAGCAGTAATGGCTGAAAATTCTGAAGATCATATATATGGAACTTTTGACACATCAGTTCAGCAACCACCTGCTTGGTTCACAGAATTTCTACAGCAGTATCATAATGATGAAGAAAGGAGAATAGAAATGTTAAATAAAATGCATGCTGATATTATTGCTTTGGAAGAAAAAAAGTGTGCTCTGTTAGCAAAACTTATTGAGAAAGTTGGAGGCCCTTGTGTGGTACAAGAGAATGAGAAATGTGAATCATCTGACTTTAAAAGACTAGACCAAGAACCAGAGTGAAACAGAAGATTTTAGCCAATAAGTCTTATTTACATGTTAGGTAAATGCAAATGGAAAGTACAATGTTGCAGCTTTCTACATTAATCCTAAAATTGTATACATGCTGTGTACAGTGTATTAGCTATGATTCATTTGCAGTGACACAGACATCCCACAGTCATTAGTCATTACAGTTCCTGAAACATCTGGAAATTGCAGTGCTGGTCAAAATTGTATTTTAGTGTCATAGGTATTACATGTGGACCATGCAGTAAATTATTTCAGAGAGACAGCTTGCTATTTTCAGCAGTATTGGAGACATTTAGCTCTGATGTGAGAAATGATATATCTTGGTGTTGACAGAGGCTTCTGTGTAATTAATTTATTTATTTTATGTCAATCACGGTCTTTTGGGTTATGATGCCTTGCAGTTTTGTAGGTTACCTGTATTTTGAGGAAAATGTCACAACCCAGATGAGCACAATTGACATATTCCCCACCACAAGAATCTTAAATCTCAGACATTTTATGGTATGGTCGTCGCATGTCCTTGAATGTCGGCATAGTCTGAAAATCTGTGGCTCTTCAAAATGGCCTTCAGTTTTGGGAACAGCCAAAAGTCACACAGAGCCAAATCTGGCAAATGGACCAATTTCAATATCTTTTTCTTTCCTTCTTCTTCCCCTCTCTCCCAAATGCATCAGGCCAAAGTTCAGGTTTTCTTCAATGAACAGCGTCACATAACTTTGCCAGTATTTTCAAATAACAATGCTGGTTCACTGTTTGACCACACTTTTTCCACATTTTCATCTATCCAGTGATTTTTCAAATGCCTAGTTCTTTCATTGTCTTTCACATCTTCCCAACCCTCTTTAAGCCTTTTATGCCACTCAAAGGCACTTATTCATAGAATCATCACCATAAACCTCTGTTAACATGTGCAGAGTGTCACTTGATGTCAGTGCGTTGTTCCAGCAACTTATCACTCATTTTTTCACCAGTTTCCCACTCTCCTGTACGTAGTGTTCATTAGATTATATCAAAATAATGTTGATTGATCACTGTTTTGTTTATCATCTGTACTGGATATGTAGCATCAGTGA